ATGCGGGCAAAACACTCATACACATAAAATAAAAATAATCATTTATAAATTAAAATTTTCTAATAAAGGAACATGAAAAAGCTTCCCTTATATTGGTACGATTTTTTTTTTCGGTCTTTCTTGAGACAGGCTCTCCCAGTAGCCCCAGCTATCCTGGAACTCACTATGTAGACCAGGCTGTCCTTGAACTCACAGAGATCCACCTGCCTCTGCCCCCAAAGCGCTGGGATTAAAGGCCTATGTTACTGCACTGGACTCAAAACTTATTAATAACAGGTTGTTAAACCTTTATCAAGATGAAAAAACAAAAAAACAAATCAAGTTTCAAGGCATTAGAAGATCCTTTTGTAAGAGAGTGAGTGGTGTATTCAGCTCAGTTCTTCACTAAGAACCCTTTATAACCTATCCTAGCCAAACTCTCAGGACAATTTTAAGAACAGAAAGATAGGGGACGTTTCCAACTTATGTAGGAAGTCACGGTCACCACGATGTTATGTCTCTCGTGTGCCACATCTGAATCCCACCCTGTGTGGTTTCTTTCAAGGCTGTTCCATTGAGTGAAATGTTTATATCAATTTTGCAAGTGACAAAGCTAGTTTGGAGAGAAGCAAAAAGAGAAGGTCCAGTCTGCATCTGTAGGGCACATCTCTGTGCACTCATGCTTACCTTAAAGGCAAAAGGGACAGTAGCCACAGTGAGTGCAACAGTACAATAGTTAATTGCCTCACATTTTTCCTGGCTCAGACTACTTCCCTTTTGGTTACAGGTTCCAGAATACAGCAAAGCAAACCATTAGAAATGATCATTTCTATAGGTTGAAATGGTAGGTTAGGGTGAATATATTTTCATGTGGTCCAAGTTAATAAGTTGGTAAATGATTGCTTTGGTGTATCAGTAATGTGTTGCAGCCTAAACAAATTACCATGACTTTCCAAAGGCTCTACCCTAAAATCAGGAAGTATTTTATGCTTTGGAGGACCTGACTCAAAGGCGTACTTGACCAAGCACGATGACTCTGAGGGGCATGGGATAAGCACATGATGGACACATTTCACAGGGAATATTTTCCTATTAACAAGCTGGCAGCAAAACTTCCGAAATTATATATGCAAGCACAACTTGAAACTGAATGCTTTTCTGTATTATATCCTGAACTCATATTATGGAGACCAACAAAATTAGTTTTTAGAAATGAGTCCTTTACTGTGAGGTTAATATTTGTTTTCTCTTTCTGTGTTATGTATAAAAATAAATTAAGCTCAAATCTTAAAAAAAAAAGAAATATATACTTAACATTCTGAACAGCAAAAAACAAGCAGCAACAACAGTCAGCCAAAGAAAATAAAAATGCATGTTTGTTAGTAAATTCCTCTTTTGCAATACAAAAACTTTTGTATAAGAAATAATTTATAATTACACATTCTTCAAAGAATTAATCTTAAATAGCAGAGAATACTAAAATAAGAAGTTCAACAGCATCTTATCTAGTTGGTCACAAAAATCTATGAAGGAAGACAAGTGTTATGTAATGGTATATAACTGTTATAATTAATTGAAAGGCAGAATTGAATGAGAAAGCTTTATATAGATCAAATAAAATCATTCTTACAACTAGGGAAGTTTAAAGGATTTTATTCATTTTAAATTATGGAGAATCTTCAAATTTTTTTTTATTCTGAATTTAATGAAATGGGATGCTTAGATTAGAGGTGTGAATATTTTAATAAAATCTGTAGATAATTACATGAGTTTTGGGTGAGTATATACTATTTTGAACCTTATATAGGTCCAACATTATTAACAACATATTTGTGGAAACAACAAATAAAACATCACTGTTTCCAGAAAATAGTTTTAAATGTTGTCCATTAAAAAAATAAATTAAAGCAATGGTAAAAGTGTGCACAAGACCCATGAAAACTCAATCAGGAAAAAAAAAAAAGTATAGAACTGGGAAAATGGGCAGCAGGCCCTAATCTTTGCTAAGGAATTACTGGTATGCAGCCATCTGTCACGTCCGCCTTCATGGTCATCGCCACTGCTGCCCAATCCCAGACCCCCAGGGCTGGGCGGAGCCACATTCAGACACAGGAGACCAGGTTCATGCAGATCTATTTTACTGAGGAATTTACAAGCTTATATAGGGTCCCTGGACCAATCAGACAAGGATGCAATGACTATGCCATATATGGACAGCCCTGGTTCTGGGACCAATCCGACAAGGATACAACAACTATGCCATATATGGGGAGCCCAGGTTCTAGTAAATCATGTGACCATGGCTGTTGTTATGCCCATGTACTGTAAGCTGTAGATAAAGCATAACCTGGAATTTTAAAGGGTGGAGACTAGGGAGTGGTGAACCTTAAGTGTCAGCCCTATGACTTGCAAAATCGAGCGATAATCACAAAGCATTCCTCCTGGCTCCAGCTGTCGGGCCATTGCCTCAGGTCTGCTGTATGGCTGTCATTAGTACTTCCACTCTAGGCTCAAGCATGTATCCCATACTGGTAGATGATCACTGCTGGGTGAGGGAGAGTCAGCTTCTTTAAGGGAGTGATTTTAGATAGTTTGACTAACTTCCAGTGGATGAACTTGCACTGAGGGACTTTTCAGTACAAACGGTTGATTGGATAGGCCTTAGCATATTTGACACAATGCTTTAAATCCAGTAGCAGGGGGTATTGGGCGGTGGTGTGGATGGGGAGGAATCTAACTTTCTTCTTTTTTCTGTGCTTTTTGTACATTTTTATTGAATTGTTGTGTATTTCCTATAAAATATAAAATAAAAATAATAAAATATTTTTTAAAAAATCTTAATCATCTTACACCTCTCCTCCATCTGCATCTTTCCATAGCTTCCCTCCACCAGATTTCATGCATTCTGTCATTTATATTAAGGCCTATTGAGTCAAGGTGGTGTACCTAGATGCCCCTCATTGCAAATTCATCCACTAGAGTCACTCATAAAAGATTGTGTCTCCTTTACTCAGCAGTAATCAGCTGCCAGTAGTTCTTTGGCTGAGATTGGAGCCTGCTGCTGATTTTCCCAGCTCTATGTTGGGTTTTTGTCTGTTTGAGTTTCCGTGGATCTTGTGCATGCTGACACCATTGCTGTAGATTCATATGAGCAAGGTGCCAGGAGCCCGTAAGACAGTTCCCATATGGACATGCACCTCCTCTCCTGGCTCTTGACAGTCTTTCCACCCCTCTTCTGTAATGGTCCCTGAGCCCTGGGTGGGTAGAGTTACTATAGGAGTCATGTCCAAGGCCCACACTTTGCAGACTCTTATTCTCTATGTTTTGGTCATTTGTGGCCTTTTAGATTCGTTGCCCTCTGTTGCGTGAAGGAGCTTTGTTGATGAAAGTTGAGAGATGCATTTATATTCTCTCTACCACTTGTTTCACTATGTTCCATGAGCCTTAGGTGTAAAAGTTCATGTTAATTAGTAGAGATGATAAACATTATCATTGAAATCTACCTGATGACTTTATATCCATACTTAGGTGCCAAGGATCAGAGTGTAACTGGCTGTGACTAGTAATAATCAGATACATAGAAATTAAAGACACATGTGCAAACATCTAAGTGTTAGTAGCATTAAAAATGTAGGAAAAAGCATGTTAAAATGAAATGGTAATCTTCTTTAAAGGTTAAAAACTCAATTTTATGTCTTACAGGGTTCAATATATTCTTACTGTATTAATACAAC